GGGAGTATGAAGGATAAAATTATTAAAAATACGTTTTTTTTTCACAAGATTCATATATAGACCACCAGAGAGCAACACTATTAGAAAATATACCGAGATGAGACTTCCTAATATTTCATAATAATAATATTTCAAACAAATACTACGATTTATTAACATTACTTTTGCAACAAGGAATACCTCCGACAATATTAACCACGAAAGGCCTGCTTCTCTCCAGAACTAACACAATTTATATTGTTTAATCACACAATATAAAAATTGAGGTTTAACCTCTTAAGGACCACAACGAAACAAATGTACGGGCAGAGGTTTCATCTACTAAATTTGGAATTACTGTTCTATAGATACACAAAACACACTACATCTAAGTAAGAAATAATTTGTTCAGTATGAAAATATTTAATAACACTGTCATAAAATATTTTGTTTATTCAACACAGCAGAATGTTAAACAGTTTGTATTTATATCCTGAAACGTACACGTTAATACTGGTAACAAAAAATCAGAAAATTATAAAATAAATGGATTTGTTTTTAGAAAAGAAACCTAAATTGTTATTACTTGGTATATGGAATATATTGAAATACGGACTTTTGGTATTCTAGCCTCGCCGTATACACTTTCTTCAATTTATAGAAAACGGTTTTCAACCTTCGGTGTTTAAGAGACAATGCTACATTCTGTTGTGTGATTGACCTAGTTTTTCATACTTGTCCGTAACAAAATCGGTAGTAGGTATGATAAAAATTCTTTGATGATGCATTTGTTTTTTTTTATCCAGGAGAAATTTCAACATCACATCTTGTTCATGGTTATTCAGTTGTTCTCAGTATCAATAACTACAATGTGTGCTTGAAAACCTTCTTTAAAGATGCTCTGTATAAATATACTGAGATCTTTACAGCACGATCAAAAGTATAGCTTGGTATTGCAAACTGAAACTGTATTACGTTTGTTTTACATTGATGTTAAAGTGGCAGCCTGACAGACCACAGTGAACTAAGGATTATATTAAATAAACTAACAATTAATAAATGAAATCTCCTTTAAAATGTTTTTCAAAGGAAACGAATCGTGAATTAAAGGATTACGTTCAAGCACACACTGCACTTTTAGAAAAGTAATGTTATTCTTGTATAATGGACGTTATGCAGTCTATAATATTTTGATGTATTGTGATAGTAATGTTAATTTGAGGGGATTTTGAGACACTTATTAAGATTGTTAATATGTCCTAGAGAATAAATAGAAAGCTTTCTTTATTAACAGGAGATAAAATTAACAATATTAATAAAATGTCTTTTTTTTCTGTAGAAAATGTGCTCATGCTTTTTGTACATGTTTCATTTCTACCCTAGGTGATTATACCGAAGGTTTTAGATTTGTTAATATTCTGGGAATTATACTTGGAATCCTTCTTGTTGTGATTGTATTGTTACTGCTGATTCTCGTTTTGAGAAAACTACGTTCTAGACGACATTCATGTCGAGGTAAGTGAAACGCATTTTTATCCTCTGTTTTTTCACCCATATTGAAATATATGAACCAACACATGAAGGAAACATATTGAATAATGTTGAATTATATATATTCATGCATAGAAATTGAAAATACTGTTAATATTTGGAAATTTCAGCCTGATCGACATCTTTTGAAATCTTGAGATAACGGCCACATCAGAGACCCTCCTAGGATTTCTTATATTGAACTACTGACCAAAGAGAAAGCACCTGAATATTAAGGTTGACTGTCACTTTTATAACAGACCCAAAGGTGAAAGTGTGGAGTTTGTTCAACGACATTATGCTTCGAACCCTGGATGCTTTTATCCCCTAGCTTCACACGTTAATTATTTACCAGGCCAAGTTCGGCTCTTAGTTTTAAAAGGGTGATATTACTGATTATAATTAATAAAACATTTAATACAATTCAATTATTTTATTACCAAATGAACTTATTTTAAATTTACTAAATACAATAACAAATGGAAAGAGATCTGAGAATTGTGGGGCCCGTTCAAAACAAATAAACAAACTGAGAATTGTGACGTTAACTTATAGTTTAGTTAGTTAAAGTATCAGTCCATTAAATAGGACTACAGATTGGAATCCTACCTGTTCTCATTTTCTTTCCCTACTCCTTCTCCTCAACAATAATCTTAATTAATTAATGCGAATGTTTGAAGAACTTAGATTTATAGTATAATAATGGCAGGTACCTGATGATGAC